GGGGCAGGAAGGCTCCTGTGCAGGCAATGTGCTTCAGCTGCCACTTTGGAGCAATGATCTGGCTGTGCAATACTGTTGCTCTCTGGAAATCGAGTGTTTCCTCATATATTGGCTATTTTAGCATTCTGATGATTAATAAAATGCTTACAGCTAGATTAATAAATCCAGGTAGTAGGACTGGCTTAGCAGCAAAACTGTGCGCTCTTAATAAAAGCAAATTGGAATGAGGTTCTGTCAGTAAAACAGATGACTCTGACTGCTCCCAGCTCTCGTGGGAGCGTGTGCGCTGAACTGGCTGCGGATGCTGTAGTGAAATGGATATTCATGTAAATCCAAAGGAACGTGAGCACGTGTGCTGATTTGCACCAGCCTTTTTATTGGGTAGGGAAGTGTTTCCATCCTGAGTCTTGGCTTTTGCTTTCACTGAGTAGTGCTGTTCTCCTCTGTGGTGTGGTTCAGTGTCCTGATAAAAGGAACATCTGATACTGGGAGCCAGTGGGTTCCCAGCTGGGAACCACAGGAAAACCTTGGACCTGCTGCTCATTGCAAACTGTCTGAGATAAAGTCCTGGTCTCCCCTGACAGCCGGGCAGCACGGGCTGACCACGCTGGAGGTTGGCACCCCTGCAGCGTTAGAACTGCCTGCAGTGATGGGCAGGGCTCACCCCGTGCTCCTTGTCTGTCCCTGCAGGGAGCACCATGATGATCGTGACAGAGTTCATGGGGAACGGCGTGCTGGACTCGTTCCTCAGGGTGAGTGCTGTGGGATCTGCCACGGGTGGTAACTGCTGGGGTCTGTCACCTGCGCAGGCTCTGCTGGCGCTGTCCCCTCAGCTGGGTCTTTCTCACCTTTGGCTTTTCCTCCCCTTTTTGACAGAAACATGAGGGACAGTTCACAGCCACCCAGCTCGTTTGCATGTTGCAGGGGATTGCCTCCGGCATGAAGTACCTGACAGAGATGGGTTACATACATAAAAGCCTTGCTGCTCACAAAGTCCTGGTGAACAGCAGCCTGGCTTGCAAAATAACTGGTTTCAGACGGCCACAAGAAGATAAGATGGAGACCATCTTCTCCACCATGGTAAGATGCACTTCCAGATTCTACTGTCAACATTCCCCAAAAGCAAAACACTGACAGAACAGCTATAAAACCTCCACAGAGGTGGATCTCCCTGGCTGCAGTGCACAGCCATGGCCAGGAGCACTTGGACTGGGGCTGGGTGTCACGGGAGGGGTTTGCAGCCTGCTCTGAATGCTGAAGAGGGATCAAATGCAAAGGCAGCCACAGCTTCTGCAGGTGGAGTCAGTAAGACCTGTAGCAATCCTGCTTCAGAACCAGTATTTTTCCTAGACTCCCGTTTCCTTCCTCATGTATGAACGCAGGCTGCATCGTACAAGTTTTTCTTAACTAGAAATCAAATGTGTTTAGCCAGGGAATTGCACAGCAGCCGTCCCCACCGTTCTTCCTCTGGCCACAGCCCTCCAGCTCTGGCAGCCTCAGCGTTCCTTATGTCTGTTTTATCACTTGTAATGAAATTCATGGTTTCCAATTAAGAATTTAAGTCCTGCTTGATTCGCACTTACACCTCGTCAGCTCTGCTAGCCAGCGTGTCTCCTGAGTGCCTGCGTGTGCCTGGAGAACTGCCCGGGAGCCCTTGGGCACAGAGCTGGGGGGCTGCCCCTGCCCCGCTCCTTCCACACACGCTGCGGCGCGTTTTTAACGGCAGAGCAATGAGATTTATGTCACTTGGTGCGTGGCAGCTGCTCTGTATCAGCTGGGTCTGTTAGCACTTCACATTAACCAGGTATTAATATTTTAAAGAGCATTGATTCCTCAATCAAATAAGCACTTATTGTTTGCAGGAGGCAATGGGCAACGCCAAGGCGGTAGCAGCTGACGTGTGCTGCCCGCAGGGACCCTGCCCGTGTTCCAGCGCAGGGTGTGGGTGTCCGGTGGGAAGAGCTGGTTTGTGGGGTTTGGCCCAGGCTCTGCCAGGAGCTGCGGTCATTTGCCAGCTCTGAGCGGGCTGGTGGCAGAGTCTGGGAAGACTTGTTCAGCCGTTGTCACTAGCTGCAGGGAGGCACGCTCAGCGCGCTCGGTCGGGAGAGCACCACTGTCCCCAGGAGTCCCTGGCGCAGCGTGACCCCATCGCGCCGGAGCTGCAGAGCGCTGCCTGCAGAGCTGCAGCTCAGCTGGGGCTGTCGTGCCACAAAGCTCTGGAGCAGCGTTTCCCCAGCGCTGGCGTGCTGCCCGCTGAGCCAGGGGATGGAGAGCACAGCAGGACCCCTAGCTTCTCCCACCACAGTGCAGCGGGGCTCTGGCTCTTGGGTCAAGGTCTCCCCGCTGTTAATTACAATTAGCTGCGGTGGCTGTCACCTGCTTCCCCTGGTGCATCCAGAGGGCTCTACAGACAGAGACAGGGATTGCTAATTACAGGAGAGCAAGCCAGGGTGGAGGGACTGTGTGTTTGCGCAGCTCTGAAACAGTTTTCATTAAATATTAATATAGAAAATGCCATCAGCTCTTCCCAGGGACATTCTCCTCTCCCATTAATATTTCAGGACTGACGCTCCCACGTAGCATACAGTTGCATGGCCATTTTAAACCAGATTGAGGCAAAAGTTTTCTCTTAGTACTAAACCTGTGCATGGCACGTGGGCTTGCTCGGTGTCCACTCTGTGATGCCAGGCAGGGCACAGCGAATGGCCACCCAGGAATCATGTGGAACGGCTGTGCCAACACATCTTTTCTCCCCTTCTGCCCATCCAGCGTGGGAAGAGCCTGGTGCTGTGGTCGGCCCCAGAAGCCATCCAGTATCACCACTTCAGTCCGGCCAGTGATGTGTGGAGCTTCGGCATCGTCATGTGGGAAGTGATGTCCTTTGGCGAGAGACCCTACTGGGACATGTCCAACCAGGACGTGAGTCATGTTGGCCGCGGTAGATGATGTTGCTGTTGCTAATGGTGCACAGGCGGCTCTGTGGTGCACAGAGGAGCTGCTGTCACTCCCTGACAGGGTGTGAGGAGGGGGGCTTGTCCCGGGGCTTTGCCTGCGATCTGCATCACAGTGCCTGACCCTGTCCCGTCACCTCCTCCACCCTCCTCTGCCTCTGCAGGTGATGAAGGCTGTGGAGGACGGGTTCCGCCTGCCCGCCCCGGTGAACTGCCAGCCACCCCTCCACCAGCTCATGCTCGACTGCTGGCAGAAGGACCGCAGCCAGAGACCCAAGTTCTCGCACATCCACAACATCCTGAGCAAGATGGTGCAGAGCCCAGAGCCCCCAAAGTGCCCCAGCTCCACCTGCACCAGGTGACCGTCCTCTTGCTTTGCTGCCTGTAATTCTGCTCTGTCTGCTGGTCCCCACCTCAGCCGAGCCGAGCCCGGCTCCCTGCTCACCGCCCCGTTGTGTTGGCAGGTCCCGCAGCACGTCCATCCCCCTGACTGAGCGCACCTTCTCAGCCTTCCCGTCTTTCAGCTCTGTGGGCGAGTGGCTGGAAGCGATAGAAATGGGCAAGTACAAAGACAACTTCACTGCTGCAGGCTACTGCTACCTGGAATCAGTGGCCAGGATGACAGCCCAGTAAGTAAACTGGTTTCCTGGCTTTAACCTCGTGTTACTGGGCGCAGCATGAGCGAGCTCGGCTTTGCAGTTACAGTCAGTCACTAAACAAGAGGACACGTCTGTGAGAGCTCCCTAGCGTGGGCTGGGCTGCGTGTGTTGTGCAGCTCAGTTGCTGTTTGATGAAGCTGAGGTTTAAAGCTGTAGTTTCTGACCACAGCAGGGTTGCCTGTCTCTCCCAGGAAGCAGGGTCAGATCTAATGTGATTTACTGGCACCCTGTTAGGGGGGCAGCACAGGGTGGCAGGGCTGGGAGCCCTCCACGCCTGGCACGCTGCAGGAACGTGTTACCCCTGGATTCCCTGTCGGGTCGTGTTGCTTTGGCTGGGACAGCAAGTTGGGGATTTCTCACTTCGGGAGGCTGATGGTCTGAAACCTGCGCTGCCCTTGCCTGGCAGTAGTTGGTGTCGGGGCTCTTCACACTTGGGGCTGTTTTTCACAGCTAACACGGGGCTCATTTTGCAGAGATGTCCTCAGCCTGGGGATCACGCTGGTAGAGCACCAGAAGACCATCCTGAGTGGGATCCAGACTCTCCGGGCCCAGGTGATCCAAATGCATGGCCGAGGCGTGCAGGTGTGAAGCATCCGCCCGCAGAGGTGCAGAGCCCTGACCCGACGCTCCGGGGAGGACACAGCCAGCCGGCCCCACACCGGACCAAACCTCTGAAACCTCGTGGTTTCAGGTGGGATGTAGGAATCGCTGGGCTGCTGCCAAACAAGTCATTCCACGTGGCAAGAGAGCAGGGCTTCCCGTCCACTGTGCTGGGGATGGCGAGGATCCCTGGGACGTGTGCGGTTCCTAGGCGGACGTGGCTCTCCCTTGCACGGTTTTGTAAGCTGAGTCAAACTGCAGTGATGCCATTTCACATGGTAATGAGGTTAACAGGGTGGATGGACATTTGTGCACTGTCTTAATCCAGAGCTGACAGCATTTTCGTATCTAGCATCCTACTGGTGAAATCCATGGGTATTTTTATACAAGCTGACATGTTCTAGCAACCCCACAAGGAGCTTTTATTGCTTTTATTTTTAGAGAGCAGAGCACAGCTCACACCCAGCGCCCAACTTCTGGAAGGTGACTTTCCCCATCTGCTATGCTGCAAGGAAACTCTTTCGCAGCCGGGTCCCTTCCGCTCTGAGTTACTTCACTGAGTCTTGACACCACAGTTGGTGAACAAAAACATATATTCTCCGCTAAAATGCAGAGCAAATGGTGCTGAATGTTTCTGAGGCTCTCTTGACAAGACAATTTCAGGGGAAGAAATGAAAAGCTTTGATGAAGAGAGCCATAGCCAAGGGAGGGCAAGCGGTGGAGCCCTTGGGCTGCCCTGCTGATGCTCTCAGCCTTCACTGCCTTTTTTGCAGGTCCTGGTCCCTCATTTCACTGCTGGAGCCCAGAAGTGGGGCAGGAACTTACAGACCAGAGCGACAGCAGGCAGGACTTTGCTGCCAACATGCAGACCAAGACCTGTCACCCGTGCAAGGCTGAGGCTAAAGCATCTGCTGCTTCTGTAGCCTCTTCCCCGCTTCCTGCCTTGCAGATTTGCGGGCAGAGCATCCCGCATCTTGCCTTTGCTGGCTTCTTGGGCAGCTGTGGTGGGCTCAGTCTGCTGTCGTGAGCTGATGCCAGAGCCTGGGACCTCCCTGCTGTCAGCTGAGCTGGAGCATCCTGCTTGGAGGTGTCCGCTCTGCCTCGGAGCAGTAGATGGGATGAGTGCTCTTCCCTTTCTAGGTCTGGAAGCTTTTGTAGGGGAAAAGGTTTTACAAACAGCACTAACTCAGCCTACAGCAGCAGAAAGGAACCTCTCAATTCTGCCAGAAACGGGATGAAAAGCTGGGAATGGGTTTGGAGTTGGAGAGACAGCGAGCATGGCTGTGCTGGGAGTGGATGCTTCCCATGTCTCCTCTGGCAGCGTGCCCCTGGCCACTGGAACAGCCACCTCAGCTGTGGTGAGAGCCCTTCTTCTGCTTCTCCAACTGCCCTGTGCCCGGCTGGGAGCAGGGAAGGGAACAGCAGCTGCCTGCCTGGCGCGTCCTGCTCGGCCGTGCGGGTTAACGCTGGGCAGGGATCCCCAGGGCTGCAGCGCGTCCCGCAGCGGGGCACAGCCTGGGTCTGGGTGTTCGAGGTGGCAGCAGTGGCTGTGCCAAAGGGACCACACATCCCAGTGGGGTGCTGGGGCTTGGGCAGAACTGGCCATTGCATCCATGGGGTCCCTGAAATCCTCCCTGCAAACCAAGGCACATCAGCACTTTATGTTGCTGCAGATGGCAGCGTGGCACTGCCTGCCTTGTGCGCTCCCACTGATGCTGGCCCGAGCCCTGACAGGAGACATAAATAGCATCTGCTTAATAATACAAGTTTCCTTGAAGTTAGTTAATTAAATGGGTCTTTGCAGCCTTGTTCAGAGGTTTGTAGGCCTTTTATGATCATCTGTAAGTATTGCAAGTGAATTATTTATGATGAAAGGCAAAGATTTACAAAGGGAACGAATGCTGTAGGAGATGTTCACAGTGTGGCTGGAAATCTCTTTGAGTCAGACCCTCCTGTCAGGCTGCTCTGAGGGGATGAGGCAGCAGCCTCTGGCGGGGCTGGCACGGCACCCGCCCTGCCTGGGCATCTTCCTCTCTCCTGGTCATGGGAGAGCAGAGCGGCAGGACCGTGGGTGCTGGTGGCTGTCCTGGGCCCACTGGCCTTGGCAGAACGTGTTACCAGAGGGACCCAGCTTCTGCTCAGTCACAGTGGGTCCCTTTTTCCTCAGGCTCTTTTGGCTCAGCGTGGGGCCAGGCTGGGTCCAGCAGTGCTCAAGATGAACAAGATTTCACTGTTCTCACATATTTTAGCTTGATTGCATCAGAGATCAGAACTCTGCCTGAACTTCACGGACCAGGGGTCTCAAAAAGGTGCCAAGTGATGCTGGTTTATCTGTGTTCTGACAAACCTGTGCAGAGCTCAGGACAGGAACTCACACGTGCTGGGGCTGGGAGCTGCTGTGGGTCTGCGGGTGCAGATGGAGCCGCTGCAGCAGTGGGTGAGTGCTGGGTGTGCTCTGGGGAGTTTGCTGCTCTCTGGGTTAAATGAGCTCTCTCCTTCCTGCCACCTCTGCAGTTAAACAACATTCCCCAATCTAATTTGGTTAGAATTTTTTCAATGGAAATAACTTATCTTTAAGTTTGTCCTGTGTCTGGTCTGGTTGGTCACTTGCTGTCTTGCTGTTTCCCACCCAGAAGAGAATAATGGTGAACAGAAACCTTCATTTGGTAGGAATGCCAGATCCTGAGGATCAAGTGCAATTTGTATGCTCTTTATGTTTACATTTTATCTATAGAGAAAGATTATTATAGTTCTCTAGGCAGGGAGTTGAACCAACTTGATTCCGGATCCTCTCCCCCTCTCCCTGCTCTTGTGTGTCCACCAGAATTCCCAGCAGCCTCCTGCCTTGGGATGCTGGGAGCGGTGCTGGAAGGTCACTGCCAGAGGGGCTGGCTCCAGGCTGGTGCAGCTGCTTTCAGGGAGGTCTGGGGAAATCCAGGGCTTGGTGATGAGGTGACAGTGCTTCAAAATCTGGGAAACACTCCTGGCCATGAGTACAGAGGGACATGTTTCTCTTGAACCCCCCAGAACAGACCCTGTCTCCAAAGTTAGGGCTGCGAGGAGGGGTTGGCTCTGGGTGCCACCCGCATCCCTCTGAGCATCCCCAAGGAGAGAGGTGCCTCAGCACAGCTTGTCTGGAGTCACGGCAGTTTCTCCTGGCTGTGGTGACCGGTGGCTCTCAGGGAGCTGTGGGTCAGCCCTTGGGTGTGCCAGACCCAGGGTGCTGGAGGGGTGTGGGAGTGAGTGGGGACAAGGGCCATGTCTCACAGTGGCACTGCTGAGCGCGGGCAGGACACACAGCTTCATGATCTCTGGCACCCTGCAACACCCCCTGTGTGAAACCAAAACTGGAATCAAGTTGGTTCATCTCCTGATGCTTTTTGATATTCATTAACCACGTGTTATATACTGTAAATATGTATTTGAGAAGTCAATATATATTTTTATAAGCCTGAAACAAATACCATAAGGGACACTGTGCATTTCATGTTTGAACTATAGTGAGACATCTCCAGGGAATCACTGTTGGTTTGGAATAATGAATAATAGTAATAATAATAATAATAAAAATAAATGGTAATGAAGATCTATTGACATTTTTGTTAATTTTGTATTTATTGAACTATGTTTAAAGATTGCAATAATGAGATATCTAAGCACCCAAGTAAAAACAACCACTAATTCTGCCCTGGCTTGTCTGCGTGGGTCATTTCAGGCGTTCTGATGAGAAGTTGTTGGGTGTTGTAAGAAGGTGTTGGGTCAGGGATGGTTTTAGTTACGGCGAGGTGTGAAATGATGCATTGTTTGATTAAACAGCACAGGTGCTAAGCTGAGAGCCTTTGCTCCTGCTGCAGAGGAGGCAGCAACGGTGGAACTCAGGATGGTTAGTAGGTCAAGAGAGGTTCTCCTCCCCCTCTACTCTGCCCTGGTGAGGCCACAGCTGGAATATTGTGTCCAGTTCTGGGCCCCACAGTTCAGGAAGGACAGGGAACTGCTGGAGAGAGTCCAGCACAGAGCCACCAAGATGATGAAGGGAGTGGAGCATCTCCCTGCTGAGGAAAGGCTGAGGGAGCTGGGGCTCTTTAGCTTGGAGAAGAGGAGACTGAGGGGTGACCTCATTCATGTTTATAAATATGTAAAGGGTGAATGTCAGGAGGATGGAGCCAGGCTCTTCTCAGTGATGTCCAATGGTAAGACAAGGGGCAATGGGTGTGACCTGGAACACAGGAGGTTCTGCTTCAACTTGAGAAAAAACTTCTTTATGGGGATGGTGACAGAGCCCTGGGACAGGCTGCCCAGGGAGGGGGTGGAGTCTCCTTCTCTGGAGACATTCAAAACCCGCCTGGACACCTTCCTGTGTGATCTCATTTAGGTTCCTGCTCTGGCAGGGGGATTGGACTGGATGATCTTTCGAGGGCCCTTCCAATCCCTGACATCCTGTGATTCTGTGATGGTGCTTTCTTGGTATTGACACTCTGTTAGGGGGGAAAAGCCCCGTTCCCGAACTGGTGCAGCGCGTGTGTTTGTAGGTGGAAGGGCTCATGGTTGGCCTGTCCCTCCTGTCACCCTGAGGACCTGCTGACCTTGGCAGTGCTGACAGTGTGGAGCTGGCAGTGCAGGTGCAATTGTCCGTTTAATATCCATGTTGCTGTGTGAGTGTGGGGATGCTGCTGAGCAGAGGGAAAACGCTGCCGCGTTACTGTGCTCAAGGCATGTCATTAATTTTTTAATTGAGTAAATGAAAGCAGTGTATAGCCAGCATGTTAAATGCACATACTGCACAAACAATAATATTCAGAAATAATTTGATACGACTCTTTCACTAGTTCACATTTCTTCTCTCTCTCTTAGGCTGCTTAATGCCAAAGAACACGTATCAAACCTCGTTGCGCTGTGCTGACAGCTGCCAGGGAGAAGGAACCGAATGGGTGCTTAAAATGGGTGAAGTCTATTTGCCTTCTGTCGATCAAGTAATTCAGCCA